ATATAACTATCTGTAATTTGTATATGAATTTTGTATACATACATATATGTATATATATCTTGGTTTTGTGCAGAAAATAAAGAATAAAACATTGAGAAATGTTGAGAATGAATGAATTATTTAATGAATGAATGTTGAGAAATATCTCCTGCCCTAAGGAATAGTGGCACCTGCACAGGAGCCACTGCTAGGAAAAAAGCATCAACTTAAAGAGTCTTTTTTAGGAGACATTTTCTGATATGTTGTTGGGTGAGTGTGGAAAATCACCTCCATCATCTGAATGGAGTTGCACAGCCACATTTACATAAGAGGTCAATACATTCTTGGTTTGAATATACAGAAATTCTGTAATTTCTGTGCTTCAGAAGCAGTAGTGCTCAGAAAATGTCCCTTTCTCCTCAGTGTGTCAGTCCTGTCAAAAATCACAAGGGCTACCATTCAATTTTTGTCAAAATAAGCCTCTTATGACCCTTCAGCAATCACTTTGTGGGAAACTTATCATATGTGCCTGCACAAAGAATGCTGTATGTCACTAAATAAAAATAACACATTTAACACTTCCTTTGTTATCTTTAGTGTCATTTTCTGGAATTTGTTTACATTGGGAAAAGACTTTTTAAAGAAGATAGATGAATGGTTTTGAGTGTCCTAAAAAAAACCCTGGTGGTTTAAAGTCAGTGCTTGAAATAAAAAATCTTCTGGTTTATTCAACAAAATAAATAAAAGCCATAATTTGATTTTAGTGTGGCATCCGGGACTTTTCTCTTTTACTTTCAGCATGTCATGGAGCAGTGGGAAAAGAGAAGAAAGCAGAGGAGTGTTAATGATGCAAAACATCAAATGAAAAATATAATTTGATTTCAAATGGTCATTTCTGTGTAGAAAACCCCAAGAATGTGATGATAATGATTTTAAAGAGTAATTTCCATTTACATGTGTTGAGCCTTGGGCTCTCCATCAGTGACTGAATGAATATTTAACACGGCTCTTTTCCATGCCAGTTTGCTATCTCAACTTTTCCTAAAATTTGCCTTTCTTTCAGAGCTGGTGCTGGAGTATCTGTCAGTCCTGGTGAGCAGTCTGAGGCTGGCATTTCACAGAGCCCAGGGCAGAGGGCTGAGCCCAGTGACCAACCCATGAACCTCAGACGTCACCGGTGGGTCAGGAGGGAGTGTCACGTCCTTGCTTCTATCTCCCACTGCCCCCTGTCCCCTTTGCCTTGTGGTTACACTGAGATATAATTATGCTGGAGGTGTGGCTATCAAATGTGATATTATAATTTACAGGGCCTAGTGCTTTGTGGCTCTTTCTCAGCTTTCACTAATCTTCCTTGCCCTGACTGTGTGAGTTTATCTCTGCCTTGCAGTCGGTGAGGCTGAAGCTTGCAGGTCAAATGTCTGGCTTGGGGGTTAAAAGTCTTGCTCACAGCCTAGAGTGGAGACAGGAGCTGTCAAGAAAGTTCTTAATCAGAGACTCCATCTGCTGTTTTTCACAGTTTAACCATGGCCTTTACATTAGAGAAATCACATTTTTGGCAGCTTGGCCTGGGGTGATGGGAGCAGCCCAGGGGTGGGGAACATCCTCTTCTGTCCCTGCTCTGATGGACCTTTTCTGCTTGGGCTGGCTCAAACATCTTGTCATTAATTTATTTTATGGGAATAAATTGGATATTCTGACAAGACAAATTTCTAATGTCATGTGAAGTTTTCCAACCCTTGCTTCCTATTTAGTATTAGGTTTTGAGGGAGTAGCCTCAAGCTGTGCCAGGGAAGATTTAGATAGGGTATTAGGGAAAATTTTTTCATGGTAGGGGTTGTCAAACATTGGAATAGGCTGTACTGGGAAGTGGTGAAGTCACCAATCCAGGAGGTGTTTAAAAGGCATGGGGAAGTGGCACATGGGGCCATGGTTCAATTGTGAAGGTCTTTTCCAACCTTAATGATTCTGTCATTTCATGTTAACCTGTTGGTGAGATTTGTCAAGAGCAAGAGTGAAACTAGTTTTGTGGAAGATTTGTTCTAAAATATCAATGGATGGAGAAAAACAGGGCACTCAGCAGAACATTGGGATACTGGAAGCGTGGATCTCCCCTTTGGTTTAGCCCAGAGGCCAAATCTGTTCATGAAACTGCTGCTGTTAGTGCATTTTAAATATCAAAAATATTCTTTCTTCAGAAACTGTCTGACTGCTAGTTTTGTGGAAGATTTGTTCTAAAATATCAATGGATGGAGAAAAACAGGGGAGATACTGGCCCATGGCACTCAGCAAGACATTGGGATACTGGAAGTGTTGACCTCCCCTTTGGTTTAGCCCAGAGGCCAAATCTGGCCATGAAACTGCTGCCATTGGTGCATTTTAAATATAAAAAAATATTCTTTCTTCAGAAAATGTCTGACTGTTAAGTTACTTCATAACCTTTGTTCAAAACTGTGTTTAAGGCCCTTCATGTGAGTTAGCAGCTGAAGAGCTCTTACACCCCTCTCCACAGATAAGGCTTGGACTTGTTCTGAAGTAGTTGCTCTTATCATCTCTCAGCACGTGTTCTTCTTGTGAACCAGAATAGAAAATGTAAGAAATTCCTGCTGTTATTTGCTTCTTGCCTGGACTAACACCTAAAAGGTAGCACAATACAGCAGAAACCAAAAAGCACATCCTAGTGTTAAAAATGAAGGCACTGTCAAGACATCAGTATGAAAAATAACTTTGTGACAATACAGGCAAGTAACAGGGAAAAAAGTCATTTGACATGCTGGATCTCAGCAAATGTCGTATTGCTTTTGCCCCATCTGAGTGTGATGACTCCATATTCAGCAGCATCTCAGCTTTCACAGAGATGGGAACAGCAAAGGGAAGTATCCCAAGCACTCCTTGATGTCAGCTCTGGGAAACAGGAACATCCAGGCAGCATTTCCAGCATTTCATCTCGCCTCCTATTTGTTCTGTTCCACATCAGTAGGGAAGCAGAACCTTTTGAAATCTCCTACAAAAGCACAAAGGCTGTGCCTGGATACCTTGCAGTAACCCAGATGTGTTCCAGGGTGGCACCTCAAGCTGTAGGAGATCCCTTCCAGCTCCTGCTGTTGCCATGCTCAAACATCATAGCTGGATATCCAGAGCATGCAACTTGGCTCTTTGGGAAGGGAGCTGTATTGGAAATCTCTGATAATAAACTAATTCCTTGTTAAACATTTATTGGCCCAGATAAAGGGGGAGGAAAGAGGAAAAACTTGGAAAATAACCCAGAAAACACCTGAGAGTTTTGCCAAAATTATGCATCCCTCCATAATAGAATTGGGGTTTTACAGGTTAGTGTTTTCTGAGGAAAACACAGCTTTTTTAGGAAATTTTCACCAGCTTTAGTTTGAATTACAGTCCCTAAAAATCATAGAATCAAGGTTTAGGTTGGAAGGGAGCTGAAAGATCTTCTTGTTCCACCTCCTCCCATGGGCATGGACAATTTCCACTGTCTCAGGTTACTCCAAACCCCATCCAACCTGGCCTTGGACACTGCCAGGGATGGGAGAACCACACCTTCTCAGGGCAACCTGTGCCACGGTCTCACCACACTCAAAAGAGAGAATTTCTTCCTAAATATCCGGCCTAACCCTGCCCCCTCTTAGTTTGAAGCCATTCACCCTTGTCCTGCTGCTCCATGCCATTGTTAAAAGTCTCTCTCCAGCTTCTCTGGAGCCTTGAACAGTGCCAGTGGTCATGAGGGTGAAACTCAGCTGCAGGAAGGTACAAAATCAAGGCTACCAGAAGTAATTTATATCCTGGAAACCATTAATTTCCGTAATTTGACACTCTCAATTGTTTAATATGATGGTAATTTGACCAGCAGAAACAGGATGAAAGAATAGAGGGGAGGAAACCACTGCTAAACTATATGTTTCTTTATGTTTTAATTATTTATTGAGCCAGTATTAGCTAAGAAACTTTGTGTGAGCAAGACTAGGCCCAGAATTTTAATATCTAATAAAAGGAGATATCCAGGCCAGACTAGGCCCAAAACTTTAATATCTATCAAAAGGGGATATCCTCTATACAGGTAGAAAATGAAAAAGTAATGCAGGTTCATGTCTGGGTATGGCTCACCCTCTTGTGTCTTTATCTAGAATTGCAGTCTTGTGGAGAAAATTATTTATACTGGCCTGAAATAAGAAGGGAAAGTGGTGAGTTCTGCCCTGCTCAAGGCTGGTTTATCTGATAAAAGGGCTATGGAAAACCAGGACCCTTTCAGGAGCAGCTGGAGGTCTGGTGGGACACCCAATGTGGTGCAAGGTTAGTGGGAAAGAGCCACAGGAATAAAGTCATCATTTATCACCTGCAGGCAGATGTAGCAGACTTTTTGTGATTAGGTCAGAGGAAAAGCTCCAGATACAATGTGTGCCTCCCTTTTTGCTTTGTACTTATTTTCCTTTCTCATCCACACTCACATGAAATATAAAAAAACCTCAAAATTCCATAAGCAATTTTCCAAATTAAAAAAAAAAAACAAAAACCACCCCTTTGTTTATAAATAAGTTTAATTACAAGCTCTGTTTGTGAACTGGTGGTAGATCATGTGTTTATTTAGCAGGAAGACATTCCATTAACAATGAAAAAAAAGTTAACAGAAGAAAATTTAGTGGCATCTAATGAATGATGCCAAAAAACCTGAAGTGTTTTAAAAGTGGGTTTCCCATTAAAAAAGAAATAAATCATTGGCAGATCCACTTCAAAGAAAGACAACACATTAGAAAGTAACACAACACAAAGAACAACACAAAGAAAGTAACACATTAGTAGCTTAAAACATGATTTCTACAAAACCTAAAATAACATCAGAGGTTATTTTGAGCTACTAGTCTAATTTAAGACTGAAGTAATGGTCAGATTTCAGATAAAATTATTAGCTACAGGTGAATCTGAGCAGATGCACTGAGAGTGAATACACTTTACTGTGGGTCCTACTCTTTCCTTAAAATCTCTCTGCAGCTGTAATGACACCCAGCAGGACTTTAGATGATTTGAGTGGTACATTTGCAGCTTGCAGGACACTTCTTCTTCACCAGTGAATGGCTGCAGCCAAACAGCATTTTCAGATTTTTGCAGTTTCCAAGGAGGTCTTGATACTTGCAAGGGTTGGCTAAAATAAAAGAGAGAGAAGCAAACTCATGAAATATTATGTGGAAACTGAGCTCTGGTTTGATGATTCTGCATTTTCCAGAAATTCCAGCTGTCCATGTCGATATAAACTTTGTACTTTTGCTCTGCTATTAAAATGGCTTGAATATTGTAGAATGTGGTTTGTTTTTTTTAAGGAGAATGGAGTAACTTACTGCAAAGTCCTTTGTCACAGTGGCCAGGACAGTCAGCACATTTTGGTCCACTTCTGTAAGGCATAGCTATTTGCATTGGGTTATTTCCTCTGAAATTTGAAAGAATTAGAGGAACAAAATTAATTGATTGATTGTAGATGTATAGCATCATCTATTAAAAAGTGTATGTGCTTCCTAGCTCTGCTTCTCTAATAGATTTCAACTGGTTGAGGTAATCATAAAATCACAGAATCACAGACTGCTTTGTGCTGGAGGAGGTCTTAGAGATCACTTAGCTCCAACACCCTGCCATGGGCAGGTTGCTCCAAACCCCAGCAAAACCCTTCTGAAATGAAGTTTTTACCTCTGTAAGAGATCACTTAGTTCCAACACCCTGCCATGGGCAGGGACACCTCCCACCAGACCAGGTTGTTCCAAACCCCAGCAAAACTCTTTTGAAATGAAGTTGTTACCTCTGTGAGTATTCATTTGCTGTTGGCTTCCACTTTACATCTGATTTTCTCCTTTGTGGTCAAAATTACAGCATGATTTGTGCCTGAGGCCTGATTCTGACAGAGATAAACCCTTGTTCATCTGCTAAAATTTCCTTAATATCTCTTTCAATGCAAAATAAACCAGATATTGACATTCAGCATGCAGCTAAACCCACAATTTACATTGGTATTTTCAACAGTATAAATGGTTAAAGTAGATTGCAATTAATTTATCCTATAGCCATTGATGTTTTGGAAACATATCCATAATCACCACGACTGAGTAAGAAGGGAGTACGTACGCAGGGCAGTATTGGCAAACGTAAAAGTATTTGTATGGGCCTGTGGGACAGTAGGAAACTGCACATCCCACCTTGTAACTGTTGTACCAGACTAGCTGTAGATTAAAAAACAAACACATTATTTCAGAGTGAATTCTTGTAAAACAACCCAAAACTTCATAACGTAACAGAACAAGAAAATATTTTCTTTTCCTTTCATTTCTTTTCTAGTCAGCTTTTAAATTTAAAGTTTAGCTGTTATAAAGAATACATGAGTTTACATTCTTCTGTATTTTACATAAAAAAGAGTTTCCTCCAATTTCCAAATGTTTTTGAACACAGTTTCTGGAAGGACACTGAAGTTGAAATTCAAATATTTTCATCATAGGTATTTGGCTTTGACGCTTCTTAATCACGTATTTCAATTCCTGTATAGAAAATATTCATTTCTAAATTAAAGGTTTTTCTACAGACTAATATTTTCTTTTTGGACAGCTCTTTCAAAATACTGGTTCCATCACCTCGTAATTAGATAGAAAAGAATTTTAGCTTATCATTCATCTTTGGATCAGAGTATGAATTATAGATAGTAGTTTGATGACATTGATATTTTTTTCCTGATTATAAATAGCTCCCAGCTGGCTTAAGTGTACTCCTATGGTTCTGGTGTATCCCTGTAGTTTGTTTCAAGTCTCCTTACCTGAGTGTAGCTCTCAACATTGACATTTTTTGAGATTGGTCCATATCCATACTTGAAATTGGAGGACTGACTGTACCACACTTGAATTGCATCAGCCCACGTCCTTGGGTAGGTTGACAGTAACACATTCTCACCACAGGTGACACCTGGAGTAGAAGTAAATCTATTTTATTAGGAGAGAAGCAAAAGACAGGGCAGGAGGTGGGACAGAGAGTCTGTAGCTATATGCTAAAAAATGCCTATGATGCCATTCACTTTCCCCTGTGATTTTTAAGGACTTGCAAAAATTGTCTTTCAGAGTGTTTATCTGACAAAAAATATGGTTTTGTTTAATAATCACAGAATCACAGAATGGTTTAGGTTGGAAGGGACCTAAAGATCATTTTGTTCCAACCTTCCTTCCATGTACAGGGCCACCTTCCATCTAATGATCCTAAAAAGCTATTCTACAACAGATTAAAGTCGTGCTTATTTCTATTTCACTTTCACAGGGGTCATCTGCAATCTGTCATCAACCCAGCAGCTCAGGCTCCATGCTTATCAGTACCATTAATAACTCTCCTGTCTCTTGGACTGATTTTCATCCCACACTGATTTGCCCATTTTTGAGCATTTTTGGCAGTTTTGTCACTCCAAACCTGAAAGACACAAAGGAAGAAGAATCCAGGTCACAGATAGGTTAGTGCAGCCCATGAGGAAAAAAAAAAAAATAGGAAATGGCTTGGGTGTTGAGCACTGAATGCTCCTATGACCCTCAACAGAAAGGAGTTGTGCTGATTACTCTCCTGGGGCACAGAAACCACATTTCTTCAACTCTTAAAAGTTTCAAAGATGGTTATCCTGCAGAGTTCTATCACACAGTCTTGATCTTCAGATGGTACTGATTTTTATAACATACTACTGCTTTCCTTCATCTTTGTTCTGAATGAACACTGGCAGGGTGCACTGGACTAAGTGGCATAAATCTGATTTTCAGCCCAGGTGCAGCTGAGTTGTGGTGATTAATATCAGCTGGGCTTTGAACCTGGAGAATGTTTCAGGTCTTGTAACGCAGGATTAACCACAAAACACTGACCAGATCATCTGCTCGTGGGACAGGGATAACAAGGATATCAAGGGTGACAGGGATGGGAGAAGTTTTGCAGATCTAGGTTTCTTTTGTCCTCCTGACAGTGTGAGATTCAGAAGCTGCATCTCCCCCTTTGCTTTGCATGCTCTTTCCTTCATCCAGAGTTTGCTTCTCTTCTTAGATTCAGAGAATCAGGGATAGTTTGGGTTGGAATGGACCTTGAAGGATCATCTAGTCTAAACCCTGTGCAATGAGCAGGGGCATCTTCAACCAGACCAGGTTTCTCAGAGCCCCATCCAGCCTGGTCTTGACACACCCAGGAATGGGGCAGCCACAGCTTCTCTGGGCAACCTCTGCCAGGGCCTCCCCACCCTCATCATAAAAATCTGCTTTCTATATCTTATTTTAATCTACCTGCTTTTAACCAAAAACAATTAGCCCTTGTGCTATTGCAAGAGGCCCTGATAAAGTATTTTTCCTCATTCTTATAGACACCCTTTAAGTACTGGAAGGTGCTCTAAGGTCCCTTTGGATCCTTCTCTTCCCCAGGCTGAGTACCCCCAGCTCTCCCAGCCTGGCTCCAGAGCAGGAGTGCCCTTGGAGTATCTTGCTGGCTCATGTTGAATTTCTCATCCATGAACATCTCCAAGTCCTTCTCATCAGGCTGCTCTTAATCCCTTCATCCCACACCTTCCTTTGATGCTGGGTTTGCCCCACCATTTCTTTTAAGAGAAAAGCAGGCTAGCTGTAATTCATAGCTCACCATCTTCAGCATGTTCCTGGCTGTGGGAATTACAGATCTCCGTATTTCATTGTGTAGTTCAAGGATCTGTTTTTCATTTTGAGACTTAAAATGAGGAAAGGTGAAACCTTTCACGCTTTTATATGGAAAACCCTGGAAAAAAATAACAGTGAAGGTCTCATTTAACAGAAATATAATAAACAAGATAAATTATGATCTTCTTGTCACTTTTTTTTGGTCAACGGAATCTACACCAATAACCGGTCTCATAAATCTTGTTTAACTTAAGACATCTATGGTGGTAGAAATAACATCTCAGCCAGTAGTTTTAGGCTGCAGCTATACTCAGGTAAAGAAAAGTATCAACTTATCACATGGTTAATGTCAGATTTATTGAAGAAAATTATAATTTTCTTTCCTAAAGTATTTGTTTCTTTTCATTCATTAATAAGAAGATCTTGATAAATACCTCTCATGCAAGTACCTGCATAGCAGATATCTTACAAACCTAATTCTCTCTAGGAGATTTATGAATCAGATTTCTGAATCTTAAATTATTAGTTTATTTATGAAAAATGTCTTTTTAAAATTAGCCCCGTGAAGGGAAGAGAATTTTGATAGGCAAGACCACAGAATGATTTGGGTTGGAAGCTCACAGGGCCAGTAGCTCTGAAGTCCCTGTCTTATACAGGGACACCTTCCACTAGAACAGGGTGCTCAACCAGTACATTACTACTATGATATGATAATAATGATAATAATTATGATAATAATAATGATAATAATAATAATGCAAAAATCTGTACAAAATGAAAGTTCATCTTCAATATGTTACATTAACACATTAACAATACTTGAACCCCATAACTATAATTCTCCAGAGACCACAGAATGTATCAGCTCAGATTTCTATACAAAGGAGCCAAATATGGGTGTCTTGCAGAGATGAATGTTCCTACCTGTCCATCAGATTGGTGTAACAAAGCAGCCAGGAGAATAATTGCAGTTAGTAGATCCATTTCTACAGGGGAAAAAACCCAAAAAATAACCCCCAAAATCCGTTAGTCTCTTTTGCATACATTTTATGGCATAATGTGATAAGTGAGCAAGATACGAAACTGTTGCAAAGTAAAGACTGCACAAAGAAGTTTATTTTAGTTGATCCTGAATATGGATGTGCTGAAACTGTGCATAGGCACCACTGCCTCCTACAGAGAGAAGACTCCACCTTGCATGGAAGCAGGGGCTGTAAGTAGCATAAAGTTGTGTGGTATTTGGAATAGATGGCTCAGTCCCTTTTGACTCCTTTATTCAAGATATCTTGAATTTGCAGCATTTTCTTCATGTCTGCCTCCCTGTATATAAAAACGCCCATAAATGTGTTTAGTACTGTCACATGAGTGCTTCTCAAGCCCCATCCATTGTGAGATTTGGTGCTTTGGAGTGGAGCATTGACCATATGGACTATAGTCTCCATTTCTTTCCCACTCCCTATTTCCTCATTAAATCACCATCATAAAGGCTCAAGCAAATTGTGGTGATCACCTCATGTTTCATCTAACACCTAGACATAAAGAAAACCTTCAAATATGATGTTATTAACAAATAATGTTGGCTACTGCACTCTGACTCCTGAGGCACCTCATGCAGGTGTACAGACACTCTGAAACCAAATCATATAAGCAGGATGCTTTTTCTGCACATTAAAAGAATCAGAAGTTATATATCTTTGTATTGATTAGGATATGTGGGGGGAAAGGTCTTTTTGGTTATTAAAAATATGTGGCAAAATCCCAAGGAAGACTAGCTTTGAGCTCAGCAGGCTGCCTTAAACCAGACAGGCAAGAGGGAAATAGAGATAACAAATCCCAACAAATACAAAATGCCTTAGAGCTGGCCTCTCAGAAAAATCCAGAGTGTGAGCAGGACTGGTCAACAGAAATCTAGGAAATTCTGCTTGATAGGGAAACTATCATTGTAAAAAAAAAATTGTCCCCCCATTTACTTTAGAATCGCTATCCCTTGTCCTATCATGTCATTCAGATATCGTCTTTATCTTGTTTTGCTGTGATTTCATAAGGAAATCATTTGCATGTGGTAGAGGAAGGGATCTCAGTGATATCAACTAAGAATAAATTCTTAAACTTCAGGGATATTTTTAGACACTGAGGAGCTGTCCTGCCCTTCTGTACACACAGAAACAAAAGATTTTTGGGACATCCCAGATTAAATACTGCAACAGGAAACATAAAATATTTCTAGATCTGGAGTTAAAGTTGATTAAATACTACTGCACATCTGCCACAGTCTACCATCAAATCTATCTCTTGGATGAAATCTGTTGGGTTTTACTTTTAAAGCCAAATGATGATGTTCCCAGATAGAATTTTCCTTCCCTTTCAGTAGTGCTCAATCCACTAAATCACTTCTATGCTTCTGAAAAACAAATGCCAGCAACACACTTTTAGGCAGCTCTACTTGAAAACCTGAGGTTTTATGAAAATTTGATTGAGTGTAGAAACAAATAAAATAAATTGAGAGCTTCAAAACTGTAAACAAATTTCTATTTGAAAAATATGGTCTTTATATTTAATCCTGGTATTTCATTCCTCAGTATAACCTTTCTCCTGCCATCTGATACAGCTTTCAGGGCATTGCAAGTATGAAAGTTTGGCAGAGTGGGAATATTTGCTTTTCATTTATTTTAATATATTTTTCCTCTACCTTCTCTGAACTTCTTTAAATTTCATTAGAGTAATTTACTGTCCATTAAGAAAAGGTAATCAGCTTATTAGATACTACAATATATATTAGACATTTCAGCAGCATATGTACCTGAAAGTTTGGATAGTTAACATTTAGAGATGACAAAATTCTGAGTTCAGCTGTACTGGTGTATCCCAATAGTCACATGAAATAAATTTAACACCAAAATAATTCAAAAGACATTAGAAAAATATTTCCTATGACTGACAATCCCATGCAAAATGGATTATTTTATGTTCACATTTGAAGGAAGAAGCAAGTGGGTCCAAGTGTTACATTTTGATCTAAAGAAATACAGAAATTAGACTCCACTGAAGCAATTTTTCATTCATACTCATGAAAATTGTGGTTTCAGAGAAGATATGTTTTATTTTACAGTCTTTCTCTAAGATATTATAAGTATAAATTTTCTTTCAATTATCACATTATCAATTATTGGTACAACTCAGCTATTAATTCCACTAAAATTTGTACCACAACGAACAAGAGACTGCATGGATAAAATCTCTAAGGCTGAAATTCAGTTCTGCATACATTACCTTCATCCACCAGAATCCTTCTGTACCTGAGGAAGTGGCAGGAGAGGCTCTCCCTAGTCCAGGGTTATATATATATACATTTCCCCTTTTTTTTTTCCTTGTCAATATTTATTGCTGATAAATGACATCAGCTTTGGGGCTGCCCATTGCGCAAAGAAGAAATTTTCTTAAGGAACAGGTGACTGAAAGTGAACCAATCCAGCTGCATTGTTCTGGATTTTTTTTCCTTGTCTCCAGGGTAAGGAAAAAGAGAAGACAGAAGACCTCTCCTTTTGCAGAACTTCAGGGTCTAGTCTGATCAGCAAGCTACAGTGCTAATGTGTTCACAAGATAAAATCTTAAGTTCTGAGCTGGTTCTTTTACAGTTGTCTTTCCTATTTCTGGCAAAAGTATGGGATAAATATTTGGAAGCAGAGACATAAGTGAGCATCTTAGCTGTACACAGAATGACCTGTACTGTGGGCAACACAGTGATGTGTTCTTCCAAGTTGTTCCTGAACTTCCATTTGCTGAATAAAACTTATATTCCATTAGCTCACTGAGGCTGTGACACTGGGCATCACTTTTTACCAGCACATGTAGTGATAGGACAAAGGGGGATGGCTTTAAACTGAAAGGGGGCAGAATAGATATTAGGAAGAAATTCTGGACTATGATTGTGCTGAGACTCTGGAAGAGGTTGCCCAGAGAAGCTCCGGCTACCTCATCCCTGGAAATGCTCAAAACAAGGTTGGATGGGTCTCTGAGTAATCTGGTCCAGTGGAAGGTGTCTCTGCCCAAACACGGGGTAATCTTTAAGGTCCCTTCCAACCCAAACCATTCTGTGATTCTTGTACACATAACTCACCCCAGATGTTGCTCAAGATTAAGTTACTGCAGAACAGCTGCAGATATTTCACATCTTCAGTCCGGGGAGATGTGTGGCATGTGCTCTGATCTAGCATAAAATGGTCAGGGTTGAAAAGACCCTCCGAGTTCCACTCCCCTGCCATGAGCAGGGACACCTTCCACTAGTCCAGGTTGCTCCAAGCCCTGTCCAACCTGGCATCACTCTGCTCATCCTTCCTTCTTGCAGAATCTTTGTTTGCACTCTCTTATAAGGTTAAATATCACAAAGGCAGCTTCAACAGACCCTCACTGCTCAAACACAACCTTTCTTGCCTCCTTCCATGCAATCTGTTTGCTGTCAGAAGGCATAAAGCATCTGCACATCTCCTTATTCCTTTCTTGGTTCACTTCCTCATCCTTGCCTTTGCTGTGGTGTGTTGCACACTGAGCACCCTTTCCACCACACTGGGTGCAGCTTGCTGCCCATGCTGCAAGTCAATATTGCCTCACTGTTTCCAGATTTCTGCAGAATTCCTGCAGCTGTCTGCTGTTGCCAGAATTCCAATATTGTATTATAACCCGTGTTGGAAAACACAGCTGCCTTTGTTCTTCCTTTGTACAGCGGGCAGCACTCACGGGAAGTTGCCTCTGATAAGGTCTCCCATATCCTTCCATGTTCTGAGATAAGGGCACGGTTACTTTTTTATCTGAAGTGCTTGTGACAATTTTGATGAGACGAGGGTTATGACCATAAGAAAGCCTCATGAGACAGCTACCATAGTTATTGACTGCATTTCTGTAGACTGTAAGGGGAGGCAGTCCAGCAGCTCCAGATTCCCTGGGAGATATTTCCATTCTTTTACCCCATCCACCCAACTCAACAATTTTCATTCATTCACAACAGTCACCTGAGCTTTATTTGTACTGTTAAAATGAAATTATGCTACTACAGGTATTTCTTTAAAGCGTGCCCCACCTGTTTGAATAGTGAAAACAATTTGTTCTTTAAAGGATGACTGTCAGATATGCTACATTTCATGCTCTGTGGCTGAAATAGTTGGGAAGAAAGAAAAGATTAATAAAACTGACATCCGGAGCCATGGTACAAAGAACAATTTAGCATAGCAATTCCCACTTCCTCATGTGAGTTACCTGAAGGGGTGAGGTAATTTAATTAAAAAATTAATTAAGAATTTATTCAATGGAGTTCTGCAAACGTATGTATATTTTAAAAGATAAATCTATGGAAAGTTCTTAAAAAAAGATCAGCTTGAGTGATTTGACTGTGACTGTTCTCCTCCAGGCCTTGTGTAAACCTGAACTGCAGGAATCTGATTTATTTCAATGAATGAAGACAAAAATCCGCTTCCTTCAATTCTTTATTTCCACTGAAGTCAATGACAATAAAAGCAGCACTTTAAAATCCATGCAGTTCTGGGTGGTTCAGAACATTGCACAGATCTTTTTCTTGGCTGTCAGAACACCTTGCAGATCTAACTTCGTTTGGCAAAAAGAAACATTATTGATTTCTTCCACTCCAGATTATCATTATTATTATTATTAGAGAGAAAAGCAGCAGAGTCAATAAATCAAATAGTTCCTGTAAGAGTAACTGTACATAAGCACAGTATAATGGAATAATGAAATAAAAAGTGTTGTCCAGAAACTTTTAAAGGAGTCCTTCTAGTCCTTCTCTTGTGCTCCCAGAAAGTGATCTGTAAAAAATAAGCTGTTCCTTAGATATGATTTTCCATATATTTATAGAAAGTTTGCAACAAGGAGATTTCATGGTTTCCTTGGGTGATGAATATCATTCTTTTGCAGTTCTATTATTCCAGAAAGTTTTTAAGGTCTAACATACAAAATTGCAGGAGGGATTTTGTGCA